TTTCTTGCGTTCGTCTTAGCCTTCCCTCTGCCTCCCGCCTCGCTTCCGTCAGTACCTGCGTGAGTACTCCGTTTGGTATTCCCCTTGCAAGAGGAGTGATTGTATGCTTTTCTTTCATAGTCCTACGTTGCCCGAGAGAGAACACACCTTCGTGAAGCGGCTTAGTAATGGCCTCCAGCGCTTGGTGCGCAGTTAAGTTAAGAATTTCTTCAAGAAGCCGCTGGTCTTGTACGCAATCATCCGGCTCCTGAACAAACACCTCCATCGTCACATTGTAGTCTTTCATCAACGGCCGCCCTGCCGCCAACATAATTCCAAAGGAAATCACTCAGCATCATGTTGGTGCTGCTAGTGTTTTCCTCCTGCAGGATTTCCTCTACGGTGCTGCTCATGGTCCACCGCGGCCACACTTTACTCCCCGCCACACGTCGAGCTGCAGCGTCGGAACCATCACAAGAGCCACGGCGAGGTGCCACCACAACACCCGTGCGGTGAAGCATCCCACTCGCACCGCCCAACTGCGGCCAGCAGGCGCCGCTGGCTCCAAAGGACACTCGCGGCTGTTCCGTCCCGCAGTCCCAACGGCGTTGGGCGTGGCACTCGCACGGCTCGGTGGTCGGTGCGCCATGCAGCCGCACTGCAACTCCTGTCGGTGAGGCAGCCGAGGCTCACCGCCCCGCAGCAACGCGAGGCGTGCAACCAACCCCAACATACCGCCACACTATCGCCCTTTTTTATTTTGTTTTATCCACGTTGTCCGTCGCTTTGCCCCATTACTGACACAAAAAATAAGTGCACACCTCCACAAAAGAAAAATAAGGGAGGCACGATCCCACCGTCCCGCCGAGGATCAACACTCTCGTCCACCCACCACCATTGCCGCACAGAAAACCGCAGTCACATCGCAGAGGAAGCACCACAGCGTGCACCACACAATCGTGCAGTGAACGATGGGCGAGACGCAGCCATGCATCGCCCCGCTCCATTTTACCACCAATCAGGTTTTGCGTGCCCGCACAAAGTAGCAAACACAATCAGAGTGCACACAAACCCAACCACCCCCTCACTCGCTGAATCACATTATTCGCATGGAGTGACAACATTTGAGGACAAACCAGCAGTAACAGAAGGCATGGAATTTCCCTGCCAACCCCGCAAAGAGACGCAACAACTCTGCGGAGTCAAAGTGGCAGCCCCTCGGTGTTGCCCGCAGTTCATATGGCGGGAAAAATTCCACGCACGCATATTTCCGGACACCTCGCTGTCTGAGTGCCCAACAGAACATGTAAAGAAAATACCTGCGCGCAAGGTGGAATTAAATACGTGAAAAGTCGGCCTGCTTTCTCCGATGGCGTTGGCGAGCAGTCCCACACAATCCAATCAAGGTGGCACGCCGGACAGAATGGCGTCCGTCAATCAATAAAAAATGCGACACTGAAAGGGAGCAGAGAAGAGGTGGCGCATGCGATTGCCAGTGACAACCGTAAGCAATCCCGCCAGCACCAACTGCGATGCCGAGCAGCACGTTTGTGTAGAACTGGCCGTCAGGCAGAGAGGACAAATAAAACAAAAGGGCAGCAAACCCTCTCGTTCAATGTCTCCTGACCGCGGCACCAGAATCAAAATACCATGGACGATAAGAGCGGCAACGCCTTCTCCAAAACATCTTGTCAAGAAGCCGCAGGATCTCAGGAAGAGAAGAAGGCAGCGGCGGCAGCCACAGCGGGGAAGGCAATAAAACGGCTGGCAGGCACCTTCACGTCGACGCGCACACCACATCCGAGTGGGCTGGGAGCACTGATCGAACCGCTCGGAAACACACGCATCAAATCCGCAAAGCAAAGTCGCGTTGAATCGACAGGAACCCCCCGCCCAAAACAAACTTTCAAAGCAGCGTTTTTCAAGGGGGATCCGCCTTTCCGATGGCGGCACGGACGCCTCGCAGGAATTTCTTGCAAATCTCCCCTCGCAAGTCCGCAAGAAAAACGCAGCGGAATAAAAAGAGAGCGCAACGACGCAAAAAAATAATCCTCCTAACCGAACAGGTGGCAGGCCGCCCTCGCGCAAGTGGACAAAACACAACTTCACTCCGGTCTTGTCGTGGTGGTCGTCTCGCAACATTTTTTTCATTTTCTTCGCAGTGCACATCCCCCACACACACACACACATCAGTTGTTCGGGCCATGTTCCTGCGGCCAAACATCGCGCTGCTGGATCCCGCGGCACAGTCCTCGGCACAGAAGTGAGGGGAGGAAGAGGGACCGCAGAAGGTGCGAGCAAATCCGAATTCGGTGGCGGTCGCTGCAGTGAATGTTGACGTCCCACGCGGTGTCCCTTTTCTAGGTCCGGCCCTCACCGTGCCATGCTCTCAGCGTGCGGTGTGCCGGCCGCGCCGAACATCCACACGTGCTTGCGTCTCACCGTCGCTCCCAGTCCCTTTCGTTGGCTGCATCAGGGATGCCGCCATCCGGAGACGGGCATAAGGACGTTGCATCCAACAAAAACTTCAGAGGCACCCGGTGGGCCAACGACGACCGTCACTGCGGGATGTGTGACCCTTCCGTCGCTCACCTCAAATCGCACTTCTACACCTCCTCGAGCAGCAGAAGCAGCGGCATAAATACGCCGGTCCACTAGGGGCCGTCACCAGCCATTGCAGGAAGACCACTGTGCCTCAGTGCCATGAAACCCGAACTGCATTGACGGGCCACTTCGGAAAATCCTGTCGCATCCTCCCCAATTATGCAGAAACACATCCGTCGTGCATGTGTCCACCGCAGCCAAATGAATCTGGTCCAAATACCCTCCAAATCAAATTCCACTTTCCTCAAGCCATTCCCCCATTCCATACGCCCTGACCCTCGTCCGCACGTGCCCGCTCACACAAACCGCCATAGACAGATGGTGGCCGCCCAACGCTCCGGAAAAACATGCCCAGCACGCACGCGCACAATAAATGGCATGCGCAAACGCACGGCACGACGGCGGAGAAGCGCACACCGAAAGGATGCGGCCCTCTACAGCAGTCGCAGCCCACCGCGCGCATCACACCCGCAGGAAGAGTGACTCGCGGTGCACGCTCCCTCTCTCCTCCTTCCCTTCATCCCCACGGAGGAAGCAGCAGCCACCCGCAACCGCCAGCACACGCTACAAAAGAGGCATCAAAACCCACTGCAATGTGCATTTTGTGTGGTTGTGTGTGCCTGCAGACACACGAAGCAAATAAGTAAAAGCAGGAGCGGAGCATGTGAAGGGACGCACAAACAAAACTGTACAGCAGAAGCGCATGGCAAAAATAAAGAGAAAAAGACTGCTCAAGCTCATGATATTGCACTGCTGACAAAGCAGTGGCAATTCATAAAAATTTATTAAAATTAAAAAAAATTCATCTTCACCTTTCCGCACCTCACACTTTGGAAAGAAAAATAAAAAATGAAAAAATTAAAAAATGAAAAAAAGTCCTCCATTACTGCTGCACCCAAATGATAAAAGAAAAAAAAAAAGAAAAAAAGAAAAGAAAAACCACACACAAAAAAAGCACCCAACTACAATGTTGCTCCAGAAACTGTCTGCATATATTTTGTCCGAAAATAAAATTAAAAAGATATTTAAATGTCTTTCAACGTATGACCCTCCATGTGTGTCCGCACATCGTTTATATTTCATGGGGTCATCTGCGTGTTGCTGCTCCCCTCAGCCCTTTCATCGGCGTGCGTGAGTGCGGCCCGCAGAGCACAGTCACTCGTGTGTGGGGGACTGAGAGAAGCACGCAGACATGACGGGAGTCGCGTCTCTCCACCGGGAGAGTGAGCGCAGCAAAAAAAAAAAACACGGTGGCAGGGTGTGGCTGTGTGCGTGGCGCTGCGGGTGTCTGCCCGCCCTGGCCGCAAAAAAAACAAAACAAGAGGGAAAGAAATGTGTGCTCCGCCCCACAGGCCCTCGTCGCACGCCCACACGTCACGGCTCCCTCAGCGCGCCGTTCGTCGCGGCCCCTCCTCATGCGTGCAGCAGGCGAGGCGCACAGGGCCGTCGTCATGAGCGTGTCGGTGGGTGTGCGAGTGGAGCAGTTGGGCGGGAAACACACGGCACCCTTCACAGGAAGAGTGCAGAAGAAACAATTAAAGAGGGAAGAGTAGAAAAGAAAAAAACGTCCATAGTGATTGCCCCAAAAGCAAAAGGAAAGAAGGAGTGGAGCAAAAAAAAAAAACTTAAAGATTTTTAAAAGCAAACAAAAATGATTAAAAACAAACATAAAAAACATACGAAATTATACTCCAAAAAAAAAAGAAAAATTAAAAGCCGAAAAAAAAAAACGCTTATGATGGTTTCCCTAAAGCAGCAAGAAAAAATGGAAAGCATTAAAGAAAAACAAAAACAAATTATTCTCTGCGTAGTGAAATTTATCCCTAGCGGTGTGTGTGTGTCGGTGCAGGAAAGGGCACAAGTGCTTCACACTGAGGCCGCACACTCCTCACGCAGCCGCAAAGCCACACAGTCCCAGCATAAGAAGCAGCGGCAGCAGTCCCCTCCCGTACGCGGAACCAGCATCACCATTTGCCCCACCATCACCCGTTTCTCGTGCCGTCCCTTCATTCCCAGCAGAAGTCAAGCGTCCCGCTGGCGCATTTTGGGTATTGGCAGCTCTCTCCACAGTTGTCCTCCCCGGTGCTGAATTTTTCTTTGGGCCAGACACAGCAGATGCGATGGTTTGAGGAACATCTCCCGCTTGTGGTTCCGAAACTCTCTTTGGAACGGGTTTCCTGTCCTTGATTGCAGCCATCTCAGTGGGATTCAGTGGGCGGTTGTACAGAAAAACATTTGTCACCGTCATAGGAGAGTTTTGCATATCGCACGCACCAAAGCAAAAGCTTACAAGCTCAAGTGGCGCCTCACCTTTTTA